TTCTAGCCTCTAATTTTTCATTATTCAATGTATCATCAAACTGATACCTAATTTGAATCCTAAAGTAAAATCCAATGATATCACTTTTGGGTTGAAAACTTGTGATGGTTCCTACTCTGCCAAGTATGAAATACAAATAGAAAATAATGCATTCCATTCAATAGACATTTTTAGAGAATCTTCTTTGTTCTAGGGAATAGAGTGTTCCTAAAATCCCCAGCCCCAATTCATTTCTTTATTTTTCTTACGATCTCCTATTGTACTTCAGTGACGATAAAACTTACTTTGGCTTATATATCTCTGCTTCTTTATATTACTTCTTAATGACTTTAAAGCATGACCTATTATTTCAAGAAGATGAACTTTCATTAGAACACATCTCTATCACTATAAAATACAGTGTAGACCTTTTCACTCAGCAGGTGCTTAGTAGTTAGATGTTAAATGAATTAGCTTATTTCCTGCATCATTTCACAAACACATGAGACATTTCCTGGAGTTTATGAAATGACTCCATTTGATTGTCTTCATAAAATTCCAAAGTTTCTTTATTACTTGCGAGTGATTCCATTGTCATTACAACTCCTCTTAGAAATGTAGAGTGACCCTTATCACTCTGAATAGTTGGCAATGGCATTGATAAAGGACAGATGTTTATTACCTGGGGCCTCTGGAAATGTGCATGTATTTAGGTCTGTGCATTTTCAAGGTGAGTAACTCCTTCTCTAGAAAAACTTAAGGAATATGGTGAACAAAGAAGGAAGACACCACTAAGGGGGAAAAAAAAAGTTTCACTGTCAGTAAAACCCAGAACTTTGTATCTAGCTGTAAGATTTTTTTTTTTTATTGTATCGATAATTTACAGTAAATATCCCAAAATGCTCCATGTCCCCAGATAAAAACCAAATTGATTGCAGGAGACAGAGACAGAAGGTGAATGAGGTTATGGATTTGATAGCACAAGTTGCGGCATCCTTAGGATCAGAGAGTGGCCTTTTCCTATCTGTCAGGCACTGTCACTGCGCAGGAGTAGGCTAAGTGAATACAAAGGAAGGTAAGAGTTTTCACAAATAATCATACTTAAAAGCAACACTAGGTTTTTGTGAAACCATGCTTTACTAGAAGAGAATGTGTATTTTATTAATATCAGCAGCAGTAGTAAAAGTGAGTTGGCTTTCATAGCTTCTAGAAAAAAGACCACTTGCATATATGTCAGTAAAATATAAAGCCATAACAGTAGTCCTACCATACCTGGCAAGTTTGGTGACCTACACACAGACTAAGATTAGGGGAGAAACAATATTTTTTCCCCTAATCTTTAAGGAAACAATAAAATGCATTATTGAAATCAGACCTGCTCTGTTGACTCTTTTGAAGAAACAAAGATAGGTGTGTTTTAGAATTTCTGGACAAAGACCAGTCCGGATCTGGCCAGTTGGTCCTGAATTGATTCCACAGCTCTAGAGATAAATATGTTGATCTCAGATTCAATGGGTTCCAACCCTAATCCTATTAAATTATGACCCTGCCCCCCTTCTCTTATCACCAACACCTGGGTAAGGCAAATTTATGAGTCTCTACCACAATGGAGGCAAGTGGAGTGAGAAGTTTTTGGCTAAGAGATAGAGGTTTAAGGATAAAATTATGAAGAACTATTTTGGGGAGAAAACTTGTGGATGTTCTAAGAATTTGTAAACAGAATCTGCTACCCTAGTCAATATCCTATTCCACTTACTCAAAACCTTACACAGTCTTTGGAAATGATGTTAATTATGAATAAGCATGATATGTCCAGATGCGTTACAGGAGTAAATTGTGTGAAAGGGAAGTCCCTCCACATTGCATTTGTTTCTAAAACCACGTTTCTATCATGACCCCCAACTCATGCTTACACAGCTGCAACAAAGATTTAAGAAGACAATCCATCTAATAAAAGAGTAATATGCAAATTGACTCTCAATCCAAACCACAAGATGGCTGCCCCCATGTGGTCAAAGATGGATGCCCCCATGTAGACACTAGATGGCTGCCACAAGATGGCCAGCAGGGGAGGGCAGTTGAGAGGGACCAGGTCTGTAAGGGAGGGCAGTTGGGAGTGACCAGGCTGGCAGAAAAGGGAAGTTGGGGTTGACCAGGCTGGCAGAGGAGGGAAGTTAGGGGTGACTAAGCCTGCAGGGAAGGGCAGTTGGGGGGGGACCCAGGCTTGTGGTTGAGGGCAGTTAGCAGTGACCAGGCTGATAGGGGCAATCAGGCTGGCAGGAGAGCAGTTTGGCATCAATTAGGCTGGCAGGGGAGTGGTTAGGGGGTAATCAGGCTGGCAGGCAGAAGCAGTTAGGGGGAATCAGGAAGGCAGGCAGATGAGCAGTTGGGAGCAAGCAGTCTTAGATTGTGATAGGGATGTCCGACTGCCCGTTTGGCCTAAACGGGCAGTCGGACATTCCTCGAGGGGTCCCAGATTGGAATGGGTGCAGGCTGGACTGAGGGAAACACCGCACCGTGCACGCATTTCATGCACCAGGCCTGTAGTCTACTATATGCCAGAAGCCTGAGAAACAAAGATATGTTTGACTAAGTCATGTGAGGCCCAGAGTGGGTCCAACAGACTAAAAATATTAAGATTCCAGTAGTTTTAGACAACACTTGTATGTTATATGCATTTTTACTTGAATTGTAACGTGTAATCTTTAGAGCCAACCTGTGAGATAGCCAGTATCATCTTCAATTTACAAATTAGAAAACCAGCTCAGGTATAGTCACTGGCTCAAGACATGCCCATTTCCATGGGCTCCAGGTAAGAGCAGAGCTTCAGCTTATGGACATAGCTCACCTTCTGGGCTACTGGGGTTCTCTGGAGCAGAGAAGGTCACCGTATTAGTTTACTAAGATTACCATTACAAAGTATCACAGACTGGGTGGCTTAAACTATAGAAATGTATTTTCTCACAGTTCAGGAGGCTAGATGTTCGAGGTGTCAGCATGGTTGATTTTTTTCCTGAAGTCTCTTTCCTGGGCCTGCAGATAATTGTCTCCTTCCGGAGTCATCACATTGTCTTCCTTTCAGATTGGAGTAGGGACCACTCTAATGACTTCATTTAACTGAAGTCCCACTCTGAGGTAAGGACTTCAACATATGAATTTGGTGGAGGGGAGACACAATTCAGCTAACAGTCATAAATCTCAAAAAAAAAAAAATAGTTTCTTCAACTTAACACATACAGACCATGTATTTTATAATCAAAATGAGATTGACTACTATCAAAAGCAAACATGAATATTTTATAGCTTCAAGCAGAACAATATTTAGTTATTCCAAACTTTACTCTTAAAAAATAATTGTTTTCCTGATTGGGAGCAGAAATAGGTGATAGAGGACTCCGGACTTTTGTTCCATTGAAGTCATCTTTGTCAAGAATTTTGAGCATACAAAACTAGGCCTCAGATATAATCCCATGCTGACATAAACCTAGCAGTTGTAAATAGTTCACTCACCAATACAAAAAAATAATAATAATTAGAGATCAATCTCCAAACTCTGCTCATAAATTTGCTTCTTATTATGACTTAATGTAACATCCCATGAGTCTTTCCCAATATCAAAAGTGCTGGCTCAGATTTTCAAAACCACAGATGTTAAGTGAAATGTTTAGCAGAGGAGGCAGTTGGGGTCAAGAGTCTATAGATCTTGAATTAGTTGGTTAACAACTTGACTGGAAATTCTGTGCTTTGGAGGAAATCAGAAGATTAGACGCTTCACATATCCAGAGAAACATTGAGGGAAACCAAGGGATGCTATATGCACTGGGACAATCAGAAGGTTAATTGGCAGAATTCTAAAGAACTGGAAAATTTCATTTCTGAAATAGTCTGCTGGGAACAATGGCATGATAAATAATGTTGGAGCTCACATTTAGGAAGATATCTATTAATTCCTTTGTTCCCAACCAATTCTGGTTTTTATATATTAAAAATGTCCTGATCATAGGATTTTATGTTTAATGCACTACTCTTTCGGTTACTCTAACACTTTGTGATCACCAGAAATTGCTCAGTATTTTTGAAAGAATAAAATTAAATCCCTATTCTTTAAAATTCAAAAATTATTTCTCCAGAAAGTCTCACAAAGCAATGATACTGAGTCAAACAGATAAACAGAAGTTGTTGTCCATATAGAAAGGACCTCCACTTTTTCTTCTTTGTTTGCTGAAATGAATAAGGCTCCACTGAACCTAACGTCAAAATACTCCACATGTACTTGCCACGTAGATTCATGTACTTGAGAACAGGGAAAACCAGGCACATAAAACGCAATTGCAAAATGAATGCTATTTAAACAAATGAAAAATCAAACGAATGAAATGCGTTTAAACAGATTTCATTTTATTCAACTCTATCTTAAGGAAATAATCGTATCTTTATGTTCCCTATCCTAATCGTCCCCAGACATACCATCTGACTGTCCCAGCCATTTTCAATACAGAGATAACCAATGGATGATCTTGTCCCAAACCCAGCCATTTTTAATACATTGATAACCAATGACCAACTGGATCACTATAGGAGATGAGAAGGTAGAGGAATATAATATATACCACTGGGCTCTGGTGGCGGAGAAGGGATATAAGCAAGGGTCTCTACAAAAAAAGTATTGGAAATAAAGAAACATTAGAAACAGAACTGATATGTGCCTCTTTTGATTTCTTCTTTCTATTCCTTCCTCCCACCATCAAACAATTTCTGACTGCCTTATATGAGACACTGTCTGTTCTGAGGAGGTCACAGGCTTGGCAGAGACAGCCAAGGAAGCAAATAAAATGATCTCATGAGTTTTATTAATCGGATTCTGCAGCTCATCCACCCAAGGGCGCCCGCAGGCTTTAGGCGCCCAGCAGCGCCCACGTGGGCAGCTCCCTCGGGGGCCGGCCCGCCTCGCGCGCCGGGCGCCGCTCCGCCCCCTGGCGGCCGGCGGCGGGACTGCGGGGACGCGCCGCGGAGACTCGGCCATGGCGCGGGTGCTGATCGTGGGCGCCGGGCTGACCGGGAGCCTGTGCGCGGCGCTGCTGCGCAGGGAGGCGGCCCGCCCCGTCCACCTGGCCGTGTGGGACAAGGCGGGCGACTCAGGTGGGTCGTCCCACGGCCGGGACGCGGGGAACGACGCCGCCCAGACGCCGGCCTCAGGGGTGGCGCGGGCCTCTCCACCGGGGAAAAGCCCGACGAAAACGGGGCTCCCCGGGCCCCAGCGGGGCGGGCCTGCGCCGGGACACGTGATCGGAGACTTCCGCCGCCGGGAACGGCCGCCGCCGGGCGAGGGGGGCGCCCCGGGCCTGGCGGGCGGCGGCGAGGCCGGGCTGCCGGGCGGGGCCAGGCCCGAACCGCCGTTGCTAATACACAGACGCCCACGGGGGGGTTGGGGGGGGGCCCCGGGCAGCTTCGCCCAGATCCTGAGGATCCCAAGGTGCCCGCGGACAGAGACTCTGGGGAGATCCAGGGTTCAGGATCCTGTTCTTCTCCCGAGCCCTGCCTGAAAGAGGAAAGCTGACCTCGATGATTCATTCTCACGTTTCATTCATCCCTGTCATTCATTCATTCATTCATTCATTCATTCATTCATTCATTCATTCATTCATTCACGTTAGTAACTATATGCACCTCACGTGTCCTTTAAAAAAAATATCCCAGCCGAAACCGGTTTGGCTCAGTGGATAGAGCATAGGCCTGCGGACTGAAAGGTCCCGGTTTAGATTCAGGTCAAAGGCATGTACCTTGGTTGCGGGCACATCCCCAGGAGGGAGTGTGCAGGAGGCAGCTGATCGATGTTTCTCTCATCTATGTTTCTAACTATCCCTCTCTCTCTTCCTCTCTGTGAAAAATCAATAAACTATATATTTTTTAAAAATAAAAATTATCCCAAATCAGTGACCAAATTGTGTCTTCTCTACTTGCTGCCAATATGGGATGGCAAAACCTTCAACTGAAAAAAAAAAAAAATTAGAAAAAATGTCATCTACACCAGCTGTCATGGAATCCATGCAGGGTATTGGGGTGCATAGCTTTCCTGGGTTATTCTAAGGCAGTGGGGGGAGTCATTGCAAGGTTCCTTCTAACGCAGAGACCTATTTCTGTGGGTGAATTCCAGGGGGAAGAATGGCCACCACCAGCAGCCCTTACGACCCGCAGAGCACCGTGGACCTGGGCGCCCAGTACATCACGCGCACCCCGCAATATGCCCAAAAGCACCAAAGGTGAGCTCCTCGGGGTGGGATCGGCTGTGTGACCTGAAAACTCAAGCCACCCGTTTCTGACAGCGTTACACTTTGCTCCTTGGAGTATAGTGACATCATTATGCTATTATCATTTTCGTGATATTAGCAGTAAAAGGTGAACCTAAGTAAAATGGGAAAACTGTTCCTACATGCCTCCTAGGGTCCTTGTGAAGATCAGATGAGATGTTCCGTGGAACACAGCAAGGGCTCGTCAGTATGAATTACTATGTTGGTGTTGAGGGAGAAGACAAGCTGGTTGGGATGGAAGTTAATCGTAACCAATTTGAAACCGTTGTACGGAACGCCTTTCTGTTTGTCTTTACTGACATGATTTCGGAAATGGACAAGAAAATAGGCCTTTGCTTAATGTCAGCAAAAGGTTTATGGCTTCTCAAGACATTTTCATTCTTCACTTGAATTGCAAATGTTATTAACACAAAATTTGCTGAGCTGATCTTGGACAACATCTGATTATTACTTAGTTATTATAATCTCTAAGAATTCTTGCAAGAGAATACGGTCTGATAGAGCTGATTATAGAATGCCATTATGTAATATATGTTGATTTATTTCAGTTTTTATGACGAACTGCTAGCTCATGGCATTTTGAAGCCTCTGACCTACCCTATTGAAGGCTCGGTGATGAAAGCAGGAGACTCTAACTTTGTGGCACCTCAAGGAGTTTCTTCAATTATTAAGCATTACTTGAAAGAATCAGGTGGGATTGGGATTTTCTCTGCCTTCCTTTAAAATTAAGCACTTTAGAACAAAAGTTATACACATCATCAGATATTAATACTTCAAAGAAAGTTATAAAGTAGATGTTTTCTTATTCACCAATCAATAGCTAGCTTTCTTCCGCTAACGCAACCGCTAACAGTTTCCAAGGCGTGCTTCCAGAGAAATGTTTATACAGCTATCACTCTACCTGGCTGTCTCTATTTTCTATTCATACATGTTTATATTTATTCTTTTTAAAAATACACATGGGATTTTTTTACATAAGCCATTCTATACCATGTTTGGTCTATGTTTATAATAAATCTATCTATCTATCTATCTATTCTTTCTCTCTCTCTCAAGCAGTACATTTAGTTAGACATTGTTCACATCTCTTCAGGTGTCATCTGATCAGTTCTGAACTGCTGTTCCCTATTTGTAGGAAATTATAGTAGGAAAATGAATTTATATTTTCTCTTTAATATGTAGGAAGGTAGGGAATTAAATTAAATAAATACATAACAGAAACACATTTGCCTTTATAAAATGTTTAAACCTTAATATTCTGATATGTTTATTGCTAGCTGCATATTTTAAAAAATTTTATTGAATATTATGTGCTGGGTAAACAGTGGTAAATAAGTGCCTTTGTTAATGTAGAGTGAGGTAGAGAAGAAAGACACTAAATTAATTATGTACACACACAAACGCACGTAATAAGTGCTAAGAAAGGAGTGAGAGCCTTATGAGGGAGTGTATAATAAGAAGGCCTAATCTACTGTGAGTTTCAGAGGAGTGAGGGGGAGAGACGTGTCTGAGAAGGTGTCACTGAGGATCTAATGTCTTCATGAGTACCCCAAAGGTAAGCAAGAGTGAACTAGGCCAAGAGCTGATGGTGATAATGGCACGCAGTGGACACATGAGTTAGAACTGTTCTAATGTGGAAGCAAGTTGGTGCATTCGAGGAACTAACTGGTCGTGATGACTCGAGAGTGGTGAATGAGGAGCAAGTGATAAGATATGAAGTTCAAGACTAAGACAGAGGCCAGATCGTAAGGGGCTTTGTAAACAATGTTAAACATTTTATACTTTATCTTCTGTGCAGTGGGAAGCCATCGAGGAATATTACACAAGAGACAGACATGTGCTTTTTTTCTCATTTCATTTTTCACATCTTTCCTTTCTATTCCTGAAGCTGAAAAAAGTAATTTGTTTTTAAATCTAAATTTCTGAAAACTGGAATGTGAAGTAATGCTAGTGTACCAAAGAGACCGATTTAATTATATTTTATCTTTCAGTTTCTGGTTCATAATTCACTTTCTTAAACCAGTGACTTTCAGCCAGTGTGCCACAAAATTTTTTTAAAAAACATGCAATTCCTAACCATATAGTCAGAGCACTGACCTCTTTTCCCTTAGATTGTCAAATAAAAAAATGACAACAGCCAACACAACAATAGCCATCTTATGTGAATGAATCAAAATTATACCTGTAATTTTTCTTTTTCAGATCGGTAAAAGTATTTTTGTCTGGTGTGCTACAGAATTTTAGCAATTAGTGCATGAGATGAAAAGGTTGAAAATCACAATCTTAGTCTTAGCCAGTTTGGCTCAGTGGACAGAGTATTGGCTTGTGGACTGAAGGATCCCAGGTTCAGTTCTGGTCTCAGGCACATGCCCAGGTTGTGGGTTTGATTTCTAGTGTGGGGTGTGTAGGAGGCAGCCAGTCAATAATTCTCTCTCATCATTGATGTTTCTATCTCTTCCTCCTTCTCCTTTCCTCTCTGAAATCAATTAGAATGTATTTTTTTTAAAAAAAGAGAATCACCATCTTAAATAAACATTGATTAAACACTAATATGTGCCAAGTACTATACTATATATGCTATATGCTATATATTGAAACAAAACAGACTTAATTACTGACTAAAAGAGAAGAAAATATTAATCAAATAATTACTCTAATAATTATTAAAATACCTTTGTGACAAGTGCAAAGAAGGAACATGCAATGATAGGATATTCTAGATTGTATTTCTCTTAATTCTTCTTAATGAAGATAATCAATCCATTGATGAGTACTTGGATTTCTCTTACAGAGACCTATTTTAGGTTTAATAAAGAACAATAATTCCTTTAATAGGGAGTGGTGCTCTTTCTTGCTCTTATCAGAAAGAAGAATTAACACCTTTACTAAAATATATACTTGCTCTACAATGATAATGAGCTCAACGTCAGAGGGATGCAGCTCTAAATTACGGCATGCCATTTCTGAGTCTGTTTCCTTATCTGTGAAATTAATTGGCATGTATATTAAGTGCTTGGCATAGTCTTGACATACAGTAGATGCTTAATTAAAAAAAATAGCTATAGTTACTATCCTCATTAATTGTAATAGTATTTCCCATCCCCCACACGCTCAGAGCAGACATTGATGGGCAGGTCCAAGTGTGACAGATGGAGAGGAATTCCCCCTAAATGAGAAAGAAGGTAAAGAAAAGAGACCCCAGGGGCTGTAGAGGGCAAACGGCACCATTTTATTCACCCGAATGGATCTGATTGGCAACCCTTCTCCCCCCATTTATTCCTATGGAAAATTCTGCTTACGTGAACGTGATTTTGCTCTCGGAACAGGTGCCAATATCCGTTTCAGACAGTGCGTGACCCAGATCAACCTAAAAAACAACAAGTGGGAAGTCTCCAAGGAAACGGGCTCCCCTGAGCAGTTTGACATCGTCGTGCTCACGATGCCTGTTCCTCAGATCCTGCTGCTGAAAGGTGACATCGTGAACTGTGAGTCTCAGCCCGTGCCATTTACTTCAGGGAACGGGATTTTTATTTTTATATATATATTTTTTTGAAAGAGCAAGAATTCTGCGTAACTCTCTTAGCAAAGGGTATAGTATGGATCCTACCGATTGGCATGTTTTATAAACGGATACAACGGCCTGGTTCACTGTCTTAGTCTTGGTCAGACTAAAACACATAACGGAATTTTTTCCTTAATCAGTTACAAGTTGAATGCTTTTCTTATTGCTCCTGCCTCTGAGAAGTAAATCATTTTGATGGATGCTCAGTAGTGTAGCTCGCAAGAAGAGCAACCTCTTGGTGAGCCGCTGAGAAAAGGAGGTTTTTCCGACACTAACATTGATGTTGAGAAACCCTGGCGAACCTCATCTCGGATTGCTCTGGAAGAAGAGCCTCGTGCTCCTCCCTGCTTGGGATTTGTTGGCTCACCTTTTACAACTAGCTTCTTCCCACCTCCCTTTTTTTTTTCTTAAAAAACACACACACACACACACACACACACACACAAAACCAGCCTTAACATATAATTCACATACCATACATTCATTCATTTTTCAAATGTTCATTTGAATGCTATTTAATATATTCACCAATATATGCAACTATTCCCATCCTCAATTTGGGACCATTTTAATCTTCCCCAAAAAGAAACCCCATATTCTAAAGCTATCACCTGTGTCCCTCCATTCCCATCCCTGCCTCTAACCATAAACGAGCTGCCATAGATTTATTTTCTGTCTCCATAGATTTATTTCCCCATTGCCTAGGTTCTTAAGGAATGCTCTCCCATGGTTCGCTTTGCCTCCACCTCTGTCAGGTTTCACTCACGTTCCTTCTTTCATTTTGTCTAACTGAGCCTGATACTTCAGAGCATTGAGAGGACACCCCATCTTGCCTTGAAGCCATGAGTTAAAAAAAGGCAGAGCTTGGCACTGGTGGGCAAGGTCATGGGTCATGTGGGAATGGCTGTGGATATTGATGTGCCTGGAGCTTTTGACTTGTTGCATGACTGAAGGTGACGTTGAAGTTGATTGAGGAATGGCCTTTGATGCCACTATGAGAAAGAAGACTGGTATTAAATATAATTTATAGATCAGAGATTTAGAACTGTCATAGAAATTGTTCTCCGAGGAAGAAAATTGCTGTTTATGACATCTTGAAAGTAATTTGCTGTTCCTTAAATATCAGTTCCACCACCCAGTAACAATACAGCTTCTTATCTAGTACAGTGTGAGGTAATAATATAGAAGGGATTGAAATATTTGTTATGTAGCCATAGGCAAATTAGAACATGGATTTCAAAGATCTCTGTCGTGAGTCTACTTCAAGTCTGTTGCCAAAGTCACTTTAAAGTAGGATGATTTACTGCCATGGAGTCTGTAATAACTGGATTGATTTCAAGACTGTTAAATAACGTACTGTAACATCTTATTAAAACAGTTATTGATCAGTGTATTCAGTTGTGTTGTAAATTATGTATTCCAATTAAAAAAAAATCTCATCGAGGACATTTTTATTGATTTTTTAAAAGAGAGAGGTGAAGAAAGAGAGAGAGATCAATGTGAGAGAAACATTGATCAGTTGCCTCTCCCACTGGCCCCAACCTGGGGTTGAACCGGACACCTATTTATGTGCCCTGACCAGGAGTCGAACCCACAACCTTTTGGTGTACAGGACAACACTCCTATCAACTGAGCCACACTGACCAGGGCTACATATTCCAATTTTTAAAAGCTACGTAGTCTTGTATATGAAGAGAGATCCTTCAACATTGCATTTTGAAAATATTCATCAATATTTGTATTAGTGACATATAAAACATAATATCTGAGATATGTTTAAGGGCATTCCAAAAATAATTATATATATATGCATATATATATATATATATATATATATATATACACACACACATATATTGAGTACTTGAACTGTATTGGGCTGAGAGATAACTTAATCCTCCTACTCATATTTCTTTATATCTTTCTGGGGTTTGGGGAGCAATTTTTGCTTTATGATTTTTGATATGATTTTATTTGATTCATAATATATCTGCTATATCTTTTTTACTTTTAGCCTTTCAGAGATACTTCATTTTGGAGGCACCTTTATTCATCTTTGAGTCTAGTAATTTCATAAAGATATAGAATAGTTTTGTGTCACTTTTGCAGGGGCATGCTATTCCATTTTTTTACTTGAAAATCCAGCTTTCCCTTTATTGTCAGCTAAGTTTTCTTCTAAGACATGAGAAATTATTTCTGGTCCATTTATTATGATCTCAGAATATCTTAACAAATATAAAGTATCTCCCTCCCATGTCTGCTATTTTGTCTCAACTCATTTTCAACTTTGGTCTTTTCATTATTTTTTAACTTCCTTTTTCTAGCCTTCTCTCCATGTTACCCATGTAGTTTTTAAAAGTGTTCTTTTTGTTCCCTTGTTTGAGATACTGCTCCAAAGAGGTCTTATAATTGTTCACTGTTTTCAGGTCATTGCCTGAGTGTTTGTTTTACTATTCTGCTTTGTGGCAAAATTTTTCTAATATATATCTCTCATCAGTTCATTTGTTAGGTTCTGTTATGTTTTGTTGTCTTTGTCCATTTCTCTACATAGGTCCTTCTCTAATCATTAGTCATCTTTAAATGGAGCTATTTCTGTCAATTTTGTGAAGAATACTGTTGTCTGGAAGGGCAGACATTCAGTTTAAAGTATGTTGCCTCAGAATACTGTCTGTATACATTTTGTAAATATTTACCTGTGGATGATTGAACACTAGTGATCATTAATATGATAATATATTTATTAATATGAAATATTTCAAAAAATTTTAACTTAAAAATAAAAAAGATGCATCTATATTTTTTAATCAACCAAAAGTAGTTTGATAGAAACATGTTTACATTGGTTATTGCTTAAAGATAATTTTTAGATTCTTTACATTTTTGAATAGTCATAACTTTAAAAATGAGGATAGTTTAGTCTTACTATTAAAAAGGATAATGCTGTCAACATCTGAAAAAATATATCATGCTAAAAAGAAATACATTTTTTCCTCTTTTCTTTTTTAGTGGACGAATAAGATGGAATATGTAGACTTTTTATGATGAAAAATTTAATCATGACTGACTTGGTACATTTGATTGATGGGAAGGGTTTTGGGGGTGCTGTATTATCTCAATTAGAATTGGACCCCATGCCAATCATTCTGTGTTTACTTCCTTGTTATGAAATAACCCAATCTGCCAGTAACCCTTTAACAGAATGTCCTAACAATTGTCTTACAAATGTCTTACAAAGAGAAAGCATATGTTTTTAACCTCTTGTTTAAAGCATATGTCTTACAAAGAGAAAGCATATGTTTTTAACCTCTTGTTTAGGCATGCCTAAAACAAGAGGTTAAAAACATATGCTTTCTCTTTGTTTCAATCATGACCTCAGTATGAAGAATGAGCTCATCTCTTTTCTCTGTGTTTGTGGAGAACATTAAATCTCTTGAGTATTACGCATTTTCAGTTTCTATGAAGAGACATTCATTTACAAAGCCATATATTGCCCTCTAGTGGATATCGCTATATATTGCAGTTTCTGTCTGAATTTTTACGAGAGAGGACTATGAAGATGACTGAAATATCAAATATATATAAAACTATCACTGTAATATAATTCACAAAACTCCATTTTTTTTTACAGAGAAACAAATGTTGGCCCATTATAATTAACTAATTTATATAAAATTGTTCAGTATCATTTTTCTTCTAATATTATGTATTTTTTCCATTTCAATTGTATTTTATAATTAATAGTTTATTGATGAAAATTTTGAAAGTAAAATAAAATATAGTCATAATTCTAGCTTAATAAATATTAACCCAGTAAATACACATTTCTAGAGATTTTTAAAGGTAGAAATAAAATTTGTTTTCTGTTTTCAAACTTTATAATATTTTAGGAATATCTTTCCAATGCCATTGAATGTTCATGTGTTTTCATGATTTTAACTACATAGTGCTTTATTCTTCAGGTCTACCTTGAAGTATTAAAGCAGTGAGTTAGATATTTTAGGTTTCCATTGTTATCAAATATTGCTTTGACAGTGCGAAGCTGAAACAGATTTTCTTCCCCAAGCTCCTTTCCTCAGGGGAGGCTATTTTGCTATAGAATAGGGCCCTCTTGATGGCTTTTGTTTTAATTTTTCTTTTAAAAAATCTATTTTATTTCTTTCTATGTGTTCTGTAATGATGTTTCATTAAAAATTCCTGTTGAAATATTGATTTGAATTACATTTAAATTATTAATTTAGGGAGATTTAATGTGTTTACAATAGTGCACCTTGCATCCAAGGAAATCAAATAGTTCCTCATTTATTTAGGTATTTTTATGTCCTTCAGTAAAATCTTGTAGCTTTTAATCTTAAGATCTTATATATTTCTTATTAGCCTTATTATGAAATCTTTTATGATATTTGTGGATATTATGAATAATGTCCCTTTTGTTATCTTATGTTTACTTAGATGTTTCCAGAAAATACCACCCAGCTGAGTTTCTAAAACCAACATGGAAAGTCTGTTTCTTTTGATAGGGGAATTCAACCTAGCTATTGCAAAGCTACTATCTTTTTTCAACCTTTCCATTGATGTCTATTATTTATTTTATTTTGTTTTTCTCCCACTTTTTAACATTTTCTTCTATTTGCCAACTTTATCAAGTATCACAATCTTAATGAATGACTTAATTCACTATGTAAGGTGTGTATTTTATGGTAGGATTTAAAAATAAAGTACATGAAGACAGGAACTAGCCCTGACTTACCTGTTCCTGTTTTCTCAGGATTCCTTTATGAGTGCCTCATGTATGGTAGGCCTTTGGTCTCTATTTACTGAATGAATGAATGAATGAATGAATGACACAATCTGAAATATCTCTTGAAGGACAGGCAGAAGAAAAGGAAGAGAAAAAAGGATCCTAGCAAAAAATTAGGAATAGAA